GACAGCTGTCTTTATTAAATTTTATTTCATTTTTGAGATGCTAAATCTATTTTGGCCAAGCTGAAAAAGACTTTATAGCATTCACCTTATCCCTGACTGTGGTTGCTGTCCATGGTGCTGATCAAAAGCTGTAATGATGCTACTGATATTATTATTGTTATTATTATTATTATTATTATTATTATTATTATTATTATTATTATTAATAAAAAAATGTAAAATATATTATTTTTGCACTCAAACACCGTGTGCGTGTGTGGTGGGGGGACTCATTTCTCTCAAACAAACCATTTTCTGAGCTGCTAGAATAAATGTTTTTAAGTCTGGTGATGTGAAAATTCGCTTTGAGTATGTACAGAAGAGACAGGCTCCAAAAAAAGCTCATAAGTGTAGTATAATGTACTATGTAAACTGAAATGTTTTATTGAGGAAAACAGTCTGTGGTGTTTGTCTCTTATACAGGTACAATGATGAGATGCTGTGGTCTGCTAACTGCCCAGAACGAACTAGGTAAAAATCTGATAAACATTAAAATGAATTTTCAATTTGTCATCAAAAATTAATAGAGTTGCATGGACAGATGGCTCGGCAGAAAAACAATCTAATTTTGACTTTAAAAAATAAATGCTACTATTAAGTGTGACTGTTAGAATTCTGTTTGTCTGTCAGTTCCTCTGAAGAGCATTGAGGTGGAGCTGGAGGTGAGGGACCATGTGGCTACAGTGGTCTCCACTCTGAACTACGAGAATAAGGAGGACAAACTATTAGAGGCTGTTTTTGTCTTCCCTCTGCCTGGAGATGCTGCTGTCTGTCATTTCAGTGCTAAGATCGGACAGACACAGATTGTAGCTGAGGTGAAGGAGAAACAGAAGGTGAGCTGGAGAGAAAATATAACCTGATTATAAGTAAGATTGTCTATTCCATAGACAAAAAGCAATGTGTGGTAGGTTATCCATAGACTTGAGAAAGCATTTGACACTATAGATCACAATATATTAACAAGAAAACTGGAACGTTATGGTGTCAAAGCGGTAGTTTTAAATTTGTTTCCTGAGTAATTTAAGTGACAGGAAGCAGTTTGTGAAATGAAATGGTTGTTGCTCCTTATATATGGACAATGCTTGTGGTGTACCCTAAGGGTCAGTTTGGGGCCCAAAATTCTTCAACTTATACATCAATGACATTTTTAAAGTCTCCAAAGTATTAAAATGGTACTATTTGCTCATGATACAAACATTTTCTGCTCTGGTGCTGATCTGCAGAAATTATTGGATGAGATGATGTCAGGGTTCCTGGGTCGTTGACCCAGTGCTTTCAGTTTTGTTCATGTTCAGTTTATTTTGCCACTTCCATGTTCTCACTTCCTGCTTTTCCTGTGTCAGCTCGTCTCGTGTCATTAGCCAGATTATGTTCAGCTGTGTACTCACCGGTCTCTCATTATCATCCTCATCAGTCTGTGTATTTAAGTCTTCTGTTTCTACTCGTTCACTGTCGTGTCATTGATGTTACGTTGTCGTTTGTTCAGTCAGCCAGCCAGTCAGCCATTCAGTCAGCCAGCCATTCATTCATTCAGTCAGTCAGTCCTTCATTCATTCAGTCGTCCATTTCCTACCTCTGTTCTGTTTGTTCACTCCATCGCAATAAACACCAACCTTCACCTAACTATCCACGAGTCCTGCGTTTGGGTCACTTCCTCGCCTCCACTCAGCAACCCCTGACAGATGACTAATGAAATAAGTAAAGTGAAGTTCTGGCCTGATAAAAACAAATTGTCATTAAATTTGAATAAAACACACAAGACACTTCATCTGCCGCCTACTGGTGATGGCCAGAGGGGCCGATGGCGCGATATGGCAGCCTCGCTTCTGTCAGTCTGCCCCAGGGAAGCTGTGGCTACAACTGTAGCTGCCTCCACCAGTGTGTGAATGTGAGAGTGAATGAATAGTGGAATTGTAAAGCGCTTTGAGGCCCCGAAAAGTGCTACATAAATGCAATCCATTATTATTATTTTTATTATTATTATTATTATTACCAGCAAAAGCTTTTGCATTTCTATCCATGGAGTGAAGCTGTGGAACAGTTTGAATATGGAGTTGCAGCAGTGTCCAAACATAAAGCAGTTCAAAAAGAGTTATAAAGATATAGTTATAATGATCTTCATGAATTATAAAGAAAAGGAAAATGTTGAAATTCAGTCAATGTCTCTATTTAGAAAGTGTCATGATGTGATGTATATACAGTATTATATCAGAAATCTGTTCGCTATTTTTACTGCAGATTTTATCAGTAAGGAAGCTGACTAAATATTGACAGATAACCTAAGGCAAAGGGATGGGATTGAATAAGTGTGTACTACCCCCCACTCCTTTTTGATATGTAACAGAATCGGAACAGTTGAAGCAATATTGAAATATATTAGCTTTATTTTGTATAGCATTATTCTCTCTTCATTTCTTTGCTAAATGTACTTGTATATTGTTTACATGATTGAAATAAATTAACAAACAAACAAACAAGATTCAAATTAATAATAAACACAGTGAATTTCACTGACACGTGTCACCTGTCCTTCAGGCTCGTGAGGATTATGATGATGCTCTGAGCTCCGGTCAGCAGGCCTTCCTATTGGAGGAGAGTTATCAGAGTCCAGATATATTCTCTCTGAGTGTGGGCAGTCTGCCTCCAAGAGAGAGCGCCTCCATCAGGTTGGAGTACGTGACTGAGCTGTCTGTGCAGGCTGATGATGGTCTGAGGTTCTGTCTGCCTGCTGTGCTCAACCCTCGCTATCAGCCTCAGGGTAGGAAAAAACGTTGACACTAACAGAAAGCCTCAAACTCACACCTCTGCATATAAAAAGGTTTCATAACTGCAACTATGGTGGTGGAGAAATTTCCAACCTCTTTCTCTCTCTCCGTCTCTCTTCCTCCATAAATAAAATATTTTTGAATTTGTTATGTACACATAAAAGATAAACTTGAAAAGAATTAAGCGTAACATGGAAACATAAACATTGAAAGCAACTGTCTTTCTCAACACTTTATTTTCAAGTCCAGAATCTATAACATGATTAGGGGATGGACTTTGGGGTTATGGAGTATCTGTGCTGTGTTAGGCTATGTCATTCTTTCTCTCTCATTCTGCATTTATTCTGTCTTTCAAACATACAAAATTATTTGATTACCCTTCCACCATTACTTTAACTGCAGTTTCTTTGCTCTTTGTGTCATTTCTAGCCAGAATTTATACACAGGGGTTACTGTGGCTCCTCTGAAAGAGAACACCTCAAATCAGAAGTACTTGACTCCCTGGTATAACTCACAAAGGTGCACCTTAAAGCAGATAAAGTAATCTAGAAAGGAAACAGTGTCTCACTAATTTAGAAGATCATCATTTAGCTTAAAAAATAGTTTTTTGCTTTATAAAAAAGCCTTCAGTAAAGCTAGAAGGTTACTATTCATCACTGATTGAAGGAAATAAGAGCAACCCTAGGTTTCTCTGCAGCATTTTATTCATTTTATTCTATTATATTGTGTACAATTGTGTACAGTATCTTATTCTTATCCTTTTCCAGTGTTTTTCTAATTTTTACTATTCCATTTGTGCACTATATCCCAAATTAGAAACATCTTGTCTCAGAGTGACACTGAAAAACTAGTTCATGCATTTATTACTTCTAGGCTGGACTACTGTAATTCATTAACATCAGGATGTCCTAAAAACTCCCTGAAAAGACTTCAACTGATATAAAATGCTGCAGCGAGAGTACTGACAGGGACTGGAGAGAGCATATTTCTCTCATATTGGCTTCGTTGTTCAGTCCAGAACTGAATTTAGATTCGTGCACAAGGTCTTGAATAATCAGGCCCCATCTTATCTTAATGACCTTATAGTAGTAGTAGTACCATATCACCCTGTTAAAGCAATTTGCTCTAAGACTGCGGGTTTACTTGTGGATGCTAGAGTATATAATAGCAGAATGGGAGGGAGAGCCTTCAGTTTTCAGGCCTCTCTTCTATGGAACCAGCTTCCAGTTTGGATTCAGGACACAGACACTATTACTACTTTTAAATTTAAGCTTGAAACTTTCCTTTTTCCTAAAGCACATAATTAGGACTGGATCAGGTGGCCCAGAAATTTCCCTTAGTTACACTGCAATAGGTCAAGGTTCCCATGAAGCATTAAGTGTTTTTCTTCACTGAGTGTTTTTTCACTCACTATATGTTTACACCTACCTCTGCATTTAATTCAAGTTCTCTTCTACGGCATGTCTTTGTCCTGTTTTACTCCTCTCACCCTCAACCGGTCTTGGCAAATGGCTGGCCCTCCCTCAACCTGGTTCTGCTGGACGTTTCTTCCTGTAAATAGGGAGCTTTTCCTGCTCACTGTTGCCAAGGAACTTTCTCATGGGGGGTCTTTCAAGTGTGGGGTTAGTGCCCTACAGTCTGTCTTTCTCTGCCCGAGTGTCCTCTCCTCGTCCAATCTCTAAAGTAGAGTCCAACTGTTCCCTGGACCCTCTGCAGTACCTCAACACTGATCAAACCCAGGCCACGGTAGGTAGAGTGCTGATATTTCTGCTGTGTGTGGTTGTTACTTATTACTGAGAACTAAATATGGATGTGTTTGTGGTGTGCAGGTCAAGCTGGCTGCAGGACACAAGTTTGACAGAGATGTTGAACTGCTGATTTATTACAAAGATGCTCACCAGCCCACTGCTGTGGTGGAGGCAGGACAGGCCTCTGCTGAGCCGGGTGAGTGGAAATGATAGGAGTAGTTGATTTGCAAATTTTAAAAATCATTATCTACTTCTGCTTGGAAGTTCAATATGTTGACATAAACAAAAAGCAATTTCTCAGATTTTTCTGTCTGTTATTTTTCAGGCTCTCTGATGGGTGATCCAGTGGTGATGGTGAGTCTGTACCCTGAGTTCCCCCAGTCTGTGATGTCTTCATGTGGAGAGTTTGTGTTCTTAATGGATCGATCTGGAAGTATGAGTAATACTCGCATCCGCAGTGCCAAGGTATCTGTAATATTTTAATCATAAACTCTTTAGTTTCATGTTGTTCCTTTCACACAGTGGCCTCACTATATTTTCAATGTTCTGTTAAGGATACTCTGCTGTTCCTGTTGAAGAGCTTACCAATGGGCTGCTATTTTAACATTTACAGTTTTGGGTCCCGTTATGAACACATCTTCCCGTGAGTCTCTCCCTCATATCAAAGGCCCTGCTGTCTTTGTTAAAATATCCTAATGGGTGTTTTGGTGCATGTGTTTGTGTGATGGCAGTAAGAGTGTGGAGTACAGCCAGCAGACCATAAAGGAGTCTCTGAAGAAAGTTGAGCAGATGGAGGCTAATCTTGGAGGAACTGAGATCCTGGAGCCCCTCAAATATATTTACAGCCAGCCCTGCATTCCCAATCAGCCTCGACAGGTAACACACACTCACACGCTCTTCTGGTTTGCTGTCTTCGTGGGGACATCCCAATAACATAATGCTTTCCCTAAACTTAACCATTAACCAATTGTAACCCTAAAACACTAAACCCACAATTTAAGTGTAAAAAATGCCTTCAACAACGTGGGGACCTGGATTTTGGTCCCCACCAGTACAGCAAATTTCAGACTTTGGTCCCCACCAAGATAGTAAGAACCGGTATACACACACACGCACACACACTGCTTTGCATTAGTCTCTTGGAAATTTCTTTTGAACTTAATCTTACTTTCTGCTTGCCTTGCTTTAGCCTTAGAACAACTTCATCTTAAAATATAATGATTTAGGATATTTTAGCTTTTTTTATATCACCATGAAGATGCTTTATAGGGATGTATCTACATAAAGCAGATTCAATTTCATAAAAACATTGGACAAAACCTGGACCACACACGTTCTACAAATGTTTCTCAGCATTGGCATTAGTGTACAATCTAACTTTTAATATATCACATATTTTAAACCTGTGAATATAATCGTTGTTCATGTAACACCTTTGTTCTTTAGTTTGGAGTTCATACTAACTGTACATTGTTCGTTGCACACTACCACAAAAACATTTGTGTTTCTGAATCCTAACTCAGCTCTCAGAACAAACTGTGTGTTTCTGGGTCTGATGTTTTGTCCTTATGTGCCAACTCTCCTCTCTAGCTGTTTGTCTTTACTGATGGAGAGGTGGGGAACACCAAAGAAGTGATAGATCTGGTGAAGAAGAACTCAGATTCTCACAGGTGAAACCACAAAAACACAACTATATCTACACAATTCCCAGAATGTCCAACATGTCCTCTATGTAGAAAACTGTTGTATTGCAGGTGTTTCTCTTTTGGGATTGGGGAAGGGGCCAGCTCTGCTGTCATCAATGGGATGGCCAAAGAAGGAGGAGGTCATGCTCAGTTCATCACAGGGACTGACAGGATGCAACCAAAAGTAAGACATTAAACACAAATGGAAAACAAGTTAAACATTACAGCAGCAGCAGATACATATTTGAGATCAGACCTGCAGTGAGTAAAATGTCTGTTCCAACTGTTTGTGTATATTTGGAGAGGTTTTCATTATTTTTCAGGCGATGCAGTCGCTGCGATTTGCTCTGCAGCCAGTTGTGGTCGACATCTCAGTCACATGGGATTTACCAATGGAAGTGTCTGTCACTGTCCTGTCTGCACCAATCACAGCACTTTTCCAGGGTCAGAGGTCACTGATTTATGCCCAGCTCACTGGACAGGTAGGAGCAGCAGCCTCTCATGTTGTTGTTTAGATATTTGATGACAGTAATTAACGTGACTTCTAACCCTGTGATTCTGTGTCAGTGCTCAGAGGCAGCAGAGGGCTGTGTGACGGTGAAGTACAGCCTGGCAGGTCATCCCTCTGAGAACCAGCTACACTTCAGCCTCAGACCTGCAGAGGACACTGGGTAAAACAGAGTTTAAGAAACTCAGTACTTTTCATTGGTTCATGACTTTAGATATATTGGGTTGAAAATAGCAGTAGATTATAATGAATATGGACTGAAATATGTTGTGTTCACATCTGAAATAAAGTATTTAAAAAAAACCCAAAGAAATGGTTAAGTCACCCATCTCTTGGTGTGTTCCTTCTTATCTGCAGATTAACAGTCCACAGGTTGGGTGTTCGGAGTCTGATTCGGTCCCTGGAGATAGAACAGAGAGAGCACAGTGGACAGCAATATGGAGGTGTGAAGGAGAAGGTGGTGCATCTCAGTGTCCAATCAGGAGTTAGCAGTTCTTTTACTGCCTTCATTGCTGTCAACAAAGACAACAGCGAAGTGATTCAAGGACCTCTTGTGCGCAGAAATATTCCAACAGCCAGTGAGTTTTTCCCAATAGCAAAACTAAAAGTCAACCCCAGATCTGAAGCAAAGATGGTTCAGCATGAATAAAATCAGTAAAATGTTTGGTTTAATAGAAAGTCAGACTCAAATGAAAAGACAACAAGTACTGTATTTTCCACACTATCAGGCGCACTTAACATCCTTTAATTTTCTCAAAACTCGACAGTGCGCCTCCGGTGCGCCTAATGCATGGATTCTGGTTGTGCTTACTGATCTTGAACCGATTTTATGTTGTGCACGGCGCTCAAAAATCCGTCAAAAAATGTTTTAGTACGACTTTGGTAAGCTACCAAGCCACACTGCTTGATGGATTGTTGGAGCATTACAGCTACCGTAGTCAGGAGCCTCGCAGAATAATACGAGTCCAAACTCCACTACAGGTTAAACGAACACTGTGGCATCACTGAGAGTTAAAAACTGTCTACATTCTTTCATCGTTCATCTCCAGGCATTCATGAAAATAGAATTTATTAAATTTAATAGAGTTAGAAGTTATCAGGAAGTTAGCTCGCTAGTTTCCACCTAAACATGATATACCATGTTTTGACCGAGATTTCTGAAAAAATTAAAATGTACAGCTCTGCTATCACTTCCAACATAAATGAAGACAGAAAACTGAACAGTAGTGACTTTTGTAGGGTCACTGAAGTTGGACTAGCTGGTATATAATGATGTGCTACATTATCGCTAGCGACACAGCTATGTTAGCATAACATTAGCACAGTGAAGCTGGAGGATGAACGCTAAGGCTTTTTTCCACTCAATAAAAGTTAACGAGGGTTCCCGATAGTTAGGGACAAATGCAATCGCATGGCAGGATGCTGTAAATAAACCAAACTTCAGTCAGGAGAACAACTGAGATAAACTATCCACAATACGAGGTTAGTCATTAATATACTGCAACAATATGGGAATAGAGCAGCTGCAATAGACATGATCAATGAAAAATGGTACGGAAGTGAAGGAAGCAAGAAGCAAGAAGAATGAGTTGAGTAAAGTTTGACTTATCTGACTGTTTTGTTTCACTTAATGCGCCTTATAATCCAGTGCGCCGTGTGGTCCAAAAAATACAGTAAAAACAAGGTGGTAATGTATGGTAGAATGTAGGTACTCATCAGACATCAGTATCAGAGAGAGGGATGCATGTGAGAAAGTTTTTTTTTTCACTGATTCTCAAATCTTGAAGTCATTCTTTTTTTTTTTATCTTTAAAGTGATCCAGAGTCCTCCTGTGGTGAACAGTTCTCTACGTAGTAAGTAAAAACCTGAATAAGTGTTATTGAAAGAAGCATCTGCAGGATCTTTCAAAATGTTGAAAGATCCTTTAACTACTCATATTAGGGTTTTTCTTTGTGTTTACTCTTTTTGCCTGTGTACAGTGAAAAACACTGAAGAGGTTAGTATTTCGAAATAAGTTAAAAATGACAACGGAAAATATTATTTAGATTTTACATTTAATTAGTTATACATTTGTACAATGAATGCATTATAGTCTTCAGTAGTGGTGCAACGGATCAAAAATCTCATGGTTTGGATCGGATCACGGTTTTAAGTCACGGATCGGATCAATTTTCGGATCAGCAAAAATAGAAAAAAGACAAAAATTCGACTCACCATTTACTTATTTAAGTATTTTTTGCCTATTAAAAAACATTCAACTGAAGACTCATTCCACGCACTTATATAAAAACAAATTAAGGTGCAATATGGACATTATGGACCATGCTGGGCATCCTCTGCACAT